CTGTATATAATACAGAAGATATTTCACATTAAATCATGAGGTCCAACTAAAATATGCATGTTATACACTGGAATTAGCATTTTGCTGTCAGGATCCCGGAAGTGAATCGAAAGGTGCATTTCGAGATACGTATTTCAGAAATAGATTGTTTTATCATAACCTCGTTGGCATACAATGTGACAGTACATTCAATGACAGAGGGTTTCTATCGTAAATAAACAGCATAACATGAAACACGTCAGTGTACTTTTGCAAAATTGCTCAGTCAGTGCGTGGCTTGGCGAACTCTAGATCAAGATTGAGATCATGTTTATTTCACGTTTCATAGTGGTGTTTGCTGAACAACGCACTATCGTTTTGCCATGAGTCCAGTTGACAAAAGACACTTTTTCTGCTATGATTTTCATTTTAACATATTACAATGTTAATTATGAAAATAATTCGTGTGTCAAAATATATATTCAGAAGGGGCAATAACTCTATTCAGTGTGTACAATGACAGATGATACTTTACTTGTTCTTCAAACATCACTTACTTAACTGATTATTGCCGATTGAGATTGCACCGTGCACTACAAAAGTAATAATGTGTGAACTGTTTAAAATAAGTTAAAAGGACACTAAAAATTGATAAATATAAACAATGCATGAAATTGAAGAAATATAGGAATTGATACAACTACCAACTTCTTGAACACCCTCACCCAATCCTGTATGATGAAAGGTAATTGTATATCAAAAGGAAGCTACTAATACATTTATCCTGAATAGTTTGAAAATGTCTTGATCAGATATGAGTACAGTTAAAATAACAAAAGATAAAAAGGAATCAACTTCAATTGGTAATCAAGCCAAGATAAAATATATGTATCGGTACAAATTATGTTGATGGAACAATCTGGATTTCTCATATTTAACAAAGAAAAATAAACCAAAATTTTCATATCTTTATTTCTCACAATATAAGTTTTCAAAACTTAACATGGACTGGGTGTCTTTGTCAGTCAAAAGCACCTAATTAAATTCCAGGAGAAAATAATTTTTTTGCTTGTAAACAAATGGTACAATGTGCTTTTTCAGTGTCCGATAAATATTGGCCATGTTGATTTGTGAGTGAATAAGGCTTTTCCGTTCCTCGTCCTATTTTAGTGAAATGTGACAAGAACCACATTTGTTGATTGAATAAATATGTCTTTTCACTTCCTCGTCCTTTGACAGGACGCACATTGTAACCATTGTGTTACTGTCAGCAGAAAGCTCCTCCTGACATCCGTCACCGGATACTAGTACTTCATTGTGTTGACTCGCTGGCCTGAAATGAATAATTCTATAATATTATAATAATATTCCTACTTTAATAACATTTTTCATAAACAATGCATATTCACCTTCTCTCAAAATATTGCTTATTTAGAAAACAACATTCTTCTGAAATAGAGAAGTTTAAGGAAAATTAATCACAGTGTGTAACATTACATGCTACATGTACTTTAGAACAATCTTGAAGGCATGAATTCATCTGATATGTCGAAAACTCAAACAGTATATTCTGTGTAAAGGGTAAATTCAACAGATGCATCAATTTAATGACAGTGTACTACAGCTCTTTATACCAATGTCACACAGAAATTCACTCTTGTTTTAATGAAACACGTTTTGATATTTGTATTACCGGTATGTATTTAATCATGACCATGCTGAAAACATACTTTCGCTAGAGTGAAAAAAATACGATTTTTATTAAAATCAGGTGAAATATCACGTTTTGTCACACCTACAGTCAGTCTGCCTCATGGACACTATGGTTTTCTGAGTAAGGTCATGAAGATCACAAAGAAAATATAAGACTTGAATTTATTTTGTCAAATGCAATATTTATCTCTTCATGTGGTTTACTAAAGTTGATATCTTGACTTGAAAATATTAACTTTGTCAGATCACAAGACGAAATATTATTAAACATATTTTATTGTCCAAAAAGACAAAGGGCAGCACTTATTACCGCCTTCTCCCTATATACAGTTATACATAATATTGCATAATGAAAATGAACAATTTACAGTTGAAGCTTCACATTGTGGAAACATAGTGCACAATATATACATGTATACAGTGCTCATATGAAGGATATGTACAATGTGCTGGAAAGTGAAGACAGTGTGCATCTCATACATATCCTAATATTATACATTTTAGTGTTGAATATAGATTTAACAATATTAATGATTAACAGTTTGGAAACAATAATATGCTAGCTACTGAATCTGTTAGTCGTTTCTATAAATTTGTGTACAGACAAGAATATTTTTGTATTCAGGAAAACATCTAAGTTTGAATCACCAAAAAGAATACTATGTAGAGTTTTTTGTCCTCCAAGATTATCGATAGCTGTCAGTAATGTCTTCCTAAAATCATCATATAAGGTACATTCGAAGAAGAAATGGAATGAATTTTCACAAGGAGCATGCTATACAAGGAGCATGAGATAAATTCATGCTATCATCGTTATTTGACAAGGAAAACAAATTTCTTCTATGTATTTATATTTTTTTATTTTTCTCTTTTTGATTGAATTATAAAAAAATATCAAAATGATCACACCACTTGACTTGATTGAAATAAACTAAAGTTCTCAAGATTGTTAACAATAGTAAAATATTACATCATAACAATATAATTATTGCAAAATAACACAGTAAGCACAACTATATTCTTATATATAAATTGATATGATTAATAATCAATAATACATGGCAATTGCTTGCACACAAAAATATCTTTTTGTTTTAAAAGTTTCAAAACATGTTTGTGGACATAAAACCAGATGGGTTTCACAATTAAACAAAGGGAATAAATGAGTTATGATTGCAATACGCATGGGAATTAAAAATAATTCTTTTTATACTTTAAGTTTTTAGTAATGTCAATATCAATTTATGCATTTGAAATATTTGAATACAAACTGTGAAAGAGTTATCTGTTTCTGTAAATTATATAAAGATCACATGTAGATTGAACATTTACTGGACATTATTAGTTGGGTTTTTGTTCATTTCATGACATGATTAAATTGGTACAGTAAAGTAAATAACATTTTGGTCGAAATATTAATTGTTACCAAAATTACAGATCAAACTGTACTTTACTTTAAATATTTACACACCCTTTATGTAATAATTCAGTTGAAATATTACACCTCATGCTATCTAATCTGTCAACATTGACAATCAAAATAACAACTGTTCCCAATCACAACAGCACAAGTAGATCTAGATTTCTAATATTTTATTGGAATGCATTTGAGGCCATTACAATTTACATCAAATACACAACTGATGCAAACTTCTGATTTGTTACGATTGTAAATTCTCAGTAGGTTACAATTTGATACATTATATCAACATATCAATTTAGTTAGTTTCTGACATATATCTAGATATGGTCTAAAGGTCAATATTTCGACTTCAAATACAACCCGCAAAGTTATTTAAACTCACAATAAATAGTTTGGCTTAATGGTGTGTAAACAATGAATTATTTTTTACAAGATTTCAGTAGAATTTGTATTAAGTCTGTTCAGCCACCATAAACTGCATTGGGAGTTACCAGGTGGTCATGGATATTTTAAATTGAAATCACAACAGAACGGCCAGACTCAAATTTATATCGGTAAGGAGACCAGATAACAGTAGAATAGTTTGTCAATAAGAATAATGTTCAATACTTACGATAAATGTACCGGGATGGTTAAATTGTCACAGTTTGTCCCGACTGCATGCCTTGTTGACATCTCCATGTGTTTCATGTGCTATCCAGCCTTCACCTTCTGCTCTCCAAGCCTCGCTTTCAAACCGGAAGTAGCGAAGTGTGAAAAAGGTCAATAGTATTGCGATAATAGTAACCCTATATCATTGTGATGATATTACCCCACTTCAATAGTATTGCGATAATAGTACCCCTATATCATTGTGATGATAGTACCCCTACCTCAATAGTATTGCGATAATAGTACCCCTATATCATTGTGATGATATTACCCTGTTTCAATAGTATTGATGTGATAGTACCGCTATTTCAATACTATTCAGATGATAGTACCCCTGTTTCAATAGTATTGAGATAATAGTATCCCTATTTCAATAGTATTGAGATCATAGTACCCCTATTCCAATAGTATTGTGATGATAGTACCCCTATTTCAATGGTATTGTGGTGATAATATCCATATTTCAATAGTATAGGGATGATAGTTCCCCTATTTCAATAGTATCGATGCATTGAAATCGGACCAAGGACATTTTTCAAAGCAAAATGTTTGGAAAAAATCGATTTCTTTTTCAGCATGTTACATGTCAGTCAACTATTCCTGGTTCGTGTTGCCTCTGAAGGGAACGACTTGACAGTCCAAATAATGAATAATGGTGACTCACTTCCTTGCTGCAGGTGTGCCGACCTGACAGTGAGTTATAGTCTGTCTGCCTGGCCGCCAGGTCAACGCTGAGATTGTTTGTTGTGCTCTGCACAAGGGATCACTGAATTCTTGTGTCGTGCTTTCAGCAGATGGTCACTGCCGTCGTGTATGGTGCTCAAGCGCGTGTGCCAGGTGAACTGCGCTTTCTGAAAGAGGGAGGGGGCACGGGTGGCCCAGTCGTCTAAGGCACCGCGATTCGCTGTGCAGAGTTGCGTCGCTTGGACACGCCAGAAACCTATGATTGTGGGTTCGAATCCCAGTTCGCCCCGATTATATTTCTAGGTTAGTCAGCACTATACCTGTGGTCGTGGGTTTCACCGAAGTGGTAAACGTCTGAGACCTGCATCACTTCGGGCTTTCCTCCCACATTAAGCTGAGACGCCACGATATAACTGGAATACTGTTAAAAGCGGCGTTAAACCCAACTCACTCACTCACTCTGAAAGAGGGGACACGGCCATATGAAAAAGCCATTAACTACACGTGTGTAATGCCATATTTCCGCCTTCACCCTAACGTTGTGTTGCAGACCATGCCAGCCCGAGAGTGGACACTGTGGTGTGTCGCCCTCCTCCTGCTCCAGACACATGCGGGCCACGCCCAGATCGGCACCTCCAATAACGTCATCAACTATGCTGGGGACAGTGCTGATGTTGAACCAAATAAACTATCAAATGTGTTGGTGGTAAAGACTAACATTGTTGTCAGTAAGTACACTCTTCTGGTAGCAAGGTACAAACCACAGACAGCGAATAAAACACACGCAGTGAAATACCGTTATTAATACCGATAATCGCGATAAGGCATTTACAATGTTGATCAAGTATATTAATGTTCATCAGTTGTGCTTCACACATTTTTTTGTTTGGGCATAAGGGGAGTCATTTAAGCCTTCTACACCGGACTTTCGGCGTGAACACTTTAACCATAAGCCTACCTGACCGCCCCTAGTGGTGTGTTTGTTTTTCTATTGTTTAACGCCGCAATCAGCAATATTCAATCTATATTACGTTTATAGTAGTGGTAGTAGTAGTAGAAGCAGTCGTAGCACTGATGGTGGTGGAAGAAGTGGATGAGTGAGTTTAAGCCGCTTTTACCAGTATTCCAGTTACATCATGGTGGGACAGCTAAATGTGGGAGGAAAGCCCGAAGTGATGCAGGTCTCAGACGTTTACCACCAGTGGTGGTGGTGGTAAAAGTAGTAGTAGTAGTAGTAGTAGTAGTAGTAGTAGTAGTAGTAGTAGTAGAAGAAGTAGTAGTGGTGGTGGTGGTGGTGGTGGTGGTGATGATGTGGTGGTGGCGGTGGTGATGGTAGTGGTGGTAGTAGTAGTAGTGGTGGTGGTGGTGGTAGTGATAGTGGTAGTAGTTGTGTGACAGTAGTAGTTATCTCTTATTCACTATGCCTCTGTAATAGAGCCAGCTAACAGTCCGTGTGTCACTGTGAGTCTATTGCCTCTGTTACAGGTGATTGCCATGATGACGATGACGACGATGATGACGATGACAGTGAGGGCTGTGCGGACTCAACGCCCGACGTCCCAGACAACGCTGTACAGCCCATATCCTCGCCCCGGTCGTCAGACACGATAATGGTTGCCGATCTCGACAGCAGTACGTACAGGATGCCGTTAGTAAAAGTCCCGATTCAAGTTATGGATCCTATCAGGAATTCCTTCCAAATTCTACTTCAGCGTTATAGACGCAAATCATAGGCCGGCTTCTGGCCTTTCCGGAACTTCATAGCGAACATGTCAATAGTGACAACCAACATAGTTGTAGCATATATCACTAACCATGTATGTACGCCCGTTCCATCTATGAATCTGCCCATTTGAGACCTTCCCCCTTCCTTCGTCTTTTCTCCATGCGATTGTGAAATTGTGAAACGGCAAGAAATATGCAACATGAGCTCGAATGTAAACCTTTTCTGTCAGTTAATCATATGTTTGATTTTCCATTGAAACTTGCTTAAATTAGCGACGCTATATCCAAAACATAAAGTGCACTGACACTTAGTCAGCCTAGTCATGCTTTATTTAAAAAAATATTATTTGATTAGAACCTTTCAAATTTCTTTTAAACAATTCGCATAATAACTATTGATTGGCAGCTCAGACATGTTATCTTTGAAAATCGATAAAATTGCTTTATTACAAAATTCACAACATTTCAGACCTGGTAGGGTCACGTGATTGCACACATTTCTTAACCTAGTCTTCATTGAACAAATTTATATTTACATAAATTACCCAGCCTACTTTTTTTTAAACTGTTGCAGAAATAAAGGATGGGTAATTAGACATAATCAAACTTTAAAAAAAAATGTTGTTTCAATTTTCAATTCAACTTTTTCGGTATCGTTTATATCAATGCCTGTCTAAATTAAAATTATGGATTATGTTTCTTATAGTGATCATATTGTGATACTGTTATATAGGTCACGACACGTATGTTGTGCGCCTATCTGATCCTCCTGTCACCACGGCGTCAACGACATCATACACGACACGACCTGTATCCACTGCAACCCCGACGTCAACATTTCCCAGCACAGTTAGAGTGACAACAATTCCATCGACTTCCACAACAACAGCAACAGTAGTGAAAACAACAAAAACAACAGCAGCAACAACAACAGAAACGGCAGCAGCAGCCACAACTCCAGCAACAACAGCACCACCAACAACGCCATTTTCAGAAACAGCAATAACAGAAACAACAACAGGAGCAGCAACAACAACGCCATTGCCCACATCAACATCAACTTTCACTGTTACAACACCAACAGTCACAAGTAAGTGATGGGTTGTTATATGAATACACGCCCTTCAGTTGGCATCTGCATCTGCATCTCATCTTCGTCAGAGCCAGGAGGCCCGTGAAGATCCGGGGTAGAATAGGTCTTCAGCAACCCATGCTTGCCGTAAAAGGCCACTATGCTTGTCGTAAGAGTCGACTAACGGGGTTGGGTGGTCAGGCCAGCTGATTTGGTAGATGCTAGTCATTGTAACCCAATTGCGTGGATCGATGCTCATGTTGTCAGTTACTAGATTGTCTAGTCCAGATTCAATTATTTACAGACCGCTGTCATATAGTTGGAATATTGCTGAGTGTGGCGTTAAACAATAAACAAACAAACAAACAGAGCCATGAGATAATTCAGTTGTCTGTTGTCCTGAACTTGAAGCCTGTAGCCTATAGCCTGTAGGAGGGTCTTATGCAGTTGTACAAGGAACAGATGAAACATTGACAACATGGCTGATGGTGATGCAGTGAAGATGTTCGCGTTGGTGGTGATGTAGTGTAGACGTTAAAGGTTGGTGGTGATGTAGTGTAGACGTTACAGGTTGGTGGTGATGTAGTGTAGACGTTAAAGGTCGGTGGTTATGTAGTGTAGACGTTACAGGTTGGTGGTGATGTAGTGTAGACGTTAAAGGTTGGTGGTAATGTAGTGTAGACGTTACAGGTTGGTGGTGATGTAGTGTAGACGTTACAGGTTGGTGGTGATGTAGTGTAGACGTTACAGGTTGGTGGTGATGTAGTGTAGACGTTAAAGGTCGGTGGTTATGTAGTGTAGACGTTACAGGTTGGTGGTGATGTAGTGTAGACGTTAAAGGTTGGTGGTGATGTAGTGTAGACGTTACAGGTTGGTGGTGATGTAGTGTAGACGTTAAAGGTTGGTGGTAATGTAGTGTAGACGTAACAGGTTGGTGGTGATGTAGTGTAGACGTTAAAGATTGGTGGTGATGTAGTGTAGACGTTACAGGTTGGTGGTGATGTAGTGTAGACGTTACAGGTTGGTGGTAATGTAGTGTAGACGTTACAGGTCGGTGGTGATGTAGTGTAGACGTAACAGGTCGGTGGTGATGTAGTGTAGACGTTACAGGTCGGTGGTGATGTAGTGTAGACGTTAAAGGTTGGTGGTGATGTAGTGTAGACGTTAAAGGTCGGTGGTTATGTAGTGTAGACGTTACAGGTTGGTGGTGATGTAGTGTAGACGTTAAAGATTGGTGGTGATGTAGTGTAGACGTTACAGGTCGGTGGTGATGTAGTGTAGACGTTACAGGTTGGTGGTGATGTAGTGTAGACGTTACAGGTTGGTGGTAATGTAGTGTAGACGTTAAAGATTGGTGGTAATGTAGTGTAGACGTTAAAGATTGGTGGTAATGTAGTGTAGACGTAACAGGTTGGTGGTGATGTAGTGTAGACGTTACAGGTTGGTGGTAATGTAGTGTAGACGTTACAGGTTGGTGGTAATGTAGTGTAGACGTTAAAGGTTGGTGGTGATGTAGTGTAGACGTTAAAGATTGGTGGTGATGTAGTGTAGTCCTTACAGGTTGGTGGTGATGTAGTGTAGACGTTACAGGTTGGTGGTAATGTAGTGTAGACGTTACAGGTTGGTGGTAATGTAGTGTAGACGTTACAGGTTGGTGGTGATGTAGTGTAGACGTTAAAGATTGGTGGTGATGTAGTGTAGACGTAACAGGTTGGTGGTGATGTAGTGTAGACGTTACAGGTTGGTGGTGATGTAGTGTAGACGTTACAGGTTGGTGGTGATGTAGTGTAGACGTTAAAGATTGGTGGTGATGTAGTGTAGACGTAACAGGTTGGTGGTGATGTAGTGTAGACGTTACAGGTTGGTGGTAATGTAGTGTAGACGTTAAAGATTGGTGGTGATGTAGTGTAGACGTAACAGGTTGGTGGTGATGTAGTGTAGACGTTACAGGTTGGTGGTGATGTAGTGTAGACGTTACAGGTTGGTGGTGATGTAGTGTAGACGTTACAGGTTGGTGGTGATGTAGTGTAGACGTTAAAGGTCGGTGGTGATGTAGTATAGACGTTACAGGTTGGTGGTGATGTAGTGTAGACGTTAAAGGTCGGTGGTGATGTAGTGTAGACGTTAAAGGTTGGTGGTGATGTAGTGTAGACGTTAAAGGTTGGTGGTAATGTAGTGTAGACGTTACAGGTCGGTGGTGATGTAGTGTAGACGTTAAAGGTTGGTGGTAATGTAGTGTAGACGTTACAGGTTGGTGGTGATGTAGTGTAGACGTTATAGGTTGGTGGTGATGTAGTGTAGACGTTAAAGGTTGGTGGTGATGTAGTGTAGACGTTACAGGTTGGTGGTAATGTAGTGTAGACGTTACAGGTTGGTGGTAATGTAGTGTAGACGTTACAGGTTGGTGGTGATGTAGTGTAGACGTTACAGGTTGGTGGTAATGTAGTGTAGACGTTACAGGTTGGTGGTGATGTAGTGTAGACGTTAAAGATTGGTGGTAATGTAGTGTAGACGTTACAGGTTGGTGGTGATGTAGTGTAGACGTTACAGGTTGGTGGTAATGTAGTGTAGACGTTACAGGTTGGTGGTGATGTAGTGTAGACGTTACAGGTTGGTGGTGATGTAGTGTAGACGTTAAAGGTCGGTGGTGATGTAGTGTAGACGTTACAGGTTGGTGGTGATGTAGTGTAGTCCTTACAGGTTGGTGGTGATGTAGTGTAGACGTTAAAGGTTGGTGGTAATGTAGTGTAGACGTAACAGGTTGGTGGTGATGTAGTGTAGACGTTAAAGATTGGTGGTGATGTAGTGTAGACGTTAAAGGTCGGTGGTGATGTAGTGTAGTCCTTACAGGTTGGTGGTGATGTAGTGTAGACGTTAAAGGTTGGTGGTAATGTAGTGTAGACGTAACAGGTTGGTGGTGATGTAGTGTAGACGTTAAAGGTTGGTGGTGATGTAGTGTAGACGTTACAGGTGAACACTGAAGAAACTTGATGCAATGTAGAAGTCATGAACGTTTACAATCCTGTTCTTGGTGCTAACATGAGAAGGGGCCAAGGCATCAAGTTAAGCGTGTGTGCAAGACGAACTCACGGGTGCTGTTTATCTCCAATAACAAACATGACTGTGGCCTCTGTTCAAGGTGTCGGGGTAGAAGATCCAGCTACTGGGGTCACGCTGCGGATGTGCATAAATAACATCGCATTTCCTATGATTAGTGACAGTAATTAAGATAAAAGAATAGTGTGCCAGCACAGAGAAAGTTCCGCAGATTGCAGATCTGAAAAATACAATTTCTGTTGCAGTGTCGTCATCAGATGGATTTGTTATCTGGTTACAGAAGATCTCGAGATTAAGAATTAAAGAATTTCAATTCCAACTTGCTTTGTGCCGCCGAAAATATGCACAAATAACCACATGCTTGTTTCTGTTTACTGGAATAAGCGTTGTGTACCCGCAGAGAGAAGATTATGCAAATTGCAGATGCCACATGGAATTTAGACGTGATCTGAAAAATAATATTTCTGTTGCTCTGCAGTGTCGTCATAGGCTGGAATTGTTATCTTGTCACAGAAGGTCTCGGGATTAAGAATAAAAGAATGTCAGTTCAAATTGCTTCTTTCTGTTAACTGTTAATAGTAATCACCCTCTCTCAGTGTGACCCTGCCTGTTACATTTGTCTCCATCCTCCTGTCTTCATCTTCCTCCAGATGGGGACATGTGTACCGGATGTGTCATGACGAACGGCGTCGGCTACGTCCCCCACCCCTCCGACTGTTCCCGATTCTATCAGTGCTACCACAGCGACGTCTCCACCACCGTCTCCCGAGAGAAGTCGTGCCCGACAGGTTTATACTGGAACCAGGCGGTACTGACGTGTGACTTCCCGGGGAATGTGCCGTGTGCACAAGGTGGGTATAGCCAGATGACGGCACAGTGTCAACTAGCAGACAGAAATACAGTTATACTGTTACCAGGTAACCAGTGACTTACCTGGATGCTTACCTGTAGATTTAGCTGCTGGCTTTAAGGGTTTAATGGACTCGTCCAATGGCCCGAGTGCTATGCAGTGGTCAGTACCCGTGCAGATCCGGGATAGAATAGGTCTTTAGCAACCCATGTGTGCCGTAAAAGGCGACTATGCTTGTCGTAAGAGGCGACAAACTGACTTGGTTGATGCATGTCATCGCATCCCAATTACGTAAATGGATGCTCATGATGTTAATCACTGAATTGTCTGGTCTAGACTCGATTATTTACAGACCGCCGTCATTAGGTGGAATATTGCTGAGTGCAGCGGTAAACAACAACACACAAACAACATTTCTTCTGATTTCGGCCAGGGTACATTTATATGTATGGGAGAAAACACGCCTCCGAGGTTTTGGTTGGAAATGAAAACACGAGGGATTTCCTGGCGACTGGGTGTTTACTTTTTCAACCGAAGGATAGTGTCTTACTCTGGCTTATAAACCGTCAAAAGAGTTTAATTTAAACAAAAAATCCAATTTACTTTACAATTGTAAAGCCTGTTTACATGTTCAACCAAAGCCAAGGAGGAGTGTTTTATCAAACAAATCTAAATACAAGAAGTTCCACAAAAAAGATCGTGATATCTTATTTGTGAAACAATACAATGGTCCGCGTTATAAGGGTAATTCGATCGAAGCGTGTGAGTGAAAGACAACGCGCAGCATGCACACATTCGAAGTCATGACAAGTAATATTGGACAGAAATGATCACCTTCTCCGGTGGCTCGGTGGGAAAGCAATGGGTTACAAAACTTCACACGATATGTGAGATTGCAGGTTCGATTCCTGTGATCCATAAGGAAAAGTTGCATTTCTTGTCTTTCGACGTTTGAAACACCAAATCTGCAACTCAACTCATCAGGTCTTACAAGGAAAACGTAAAACCTCAAACCAGGTCTTACAAGGAAAAATTAAAACCCCTACCAGGTCTAACAAGGAAAAAGTAAAACCTCATACCAAGTCTTAGTAGGAAAATGTAAAACCTCCCAGGGGGCTATTGTGCGGAAGGAGTTTACTACCTACAAGACAACAGGCAAACGTGGCAGCAGGTTTATAAATACAATCCCTCCCCTTTCATGTTGAATATGTTTTTCTCGCGGTTATTGCAGATGTGTGCGCTACAGGGAGGCCGCTGACTGTCGACTGCCGCAACTACTGGGACTGCAGTACCGGAAGTGCCACTGCCAAGTGCTGCCCACTATACCAGTCATACGATATCACTTCCGGGTCATGCAAGACGAATGTGACCTGTACTGTTGCTTGTCTAATGGCGGGAGATACTCCTGGTATGTAACTTCTTTGAAAGCCTACACTTAAAAATCGAAAGCTTGGTTCTTGCGAATTGCGCAACTCTTGTTTCAGTATGCAGTAGAGACTAGACAAGACTGGAGGACGTTGTTTTGAGTTCAACAATCGTGCACTGTTTATATGAAAGCCGTTTTCCGCAGGTCGAACGTTTCTTTTGTTCGAGATCATAGTCATTGTTAAAAAACATGCCTCTGAGGAATATACTAACGAAACAAAGTAACTGTGCTTCATATAAAGTTCAATAGAAGTACATTTATTCTTAAATTCAATAATGCATCTAATTTCAATACATATTCGTGCGTGTTAATTCACGGTGAACAATGTCTGCGTGTTTGTTGGGTGCTTATACAAGTTGTTTTTGAATGTGAACAGCACACAATCATTGTTTAGCTATCAGGTGCTCAGAAAAATATCATTGGTTAACTGTAAATAACGCTAACGCTATGCCACGGCTTGCTGGAAATCAACGTCTACCAGCCATAGGTATGCTGTAAACAGGAATGGCGAAAAACGGATAAAAGTTGCCGGATATTTTAATGTTCATCGAAACACAATATTATCTCTTTGGAGATATTATCTACAGCAGGGTAACACTTGTAACTTGCCACCGGTCGTCCACGACTGACGTCACGTCAACAAGACAACCATATTCGGTTGGTGCATCTACGCAATCGATACCAAACTGCGACATCAAGCGCCAACAGTTCCTGTGTTGAGGCCAATTAGAACCGTACGCAACCGGTTGATGGAGCACACCATCCGGCCCCGACGTCCAGCGATACGCCACATTTTGCTTCCACGTCACCGTCAGGCACCCCTAACTTAATGCAGACCTCATGTGAGGCTCCGAAGACAAGACAGGGACAGTATACTGTTCAAAGATGATTCCAGGTTTCACCTGGTGATGGTCGTGCAAGCACCTGCAGGCGTCAACAGGCGCCTTCAGGCGTCCAGGCGACGTTACTCAACGTCGTCAGTTTTCCGGTGGAAGTGTAATGATATGTGGTCGTATGAACTCATGGGAGAGCACGCTACCGACATTGTCAATTAAGTTTTTATACCGCCACTCTTTGAGGGCTTGTAGGTCTGTCTCATGTCGGGGCGATGGGGTAGCCTAGTGGTAAAAGCTTTCGCTCGTCACGCCGAAGACCCGGGTTCGATTCCCCACATGGGTACAATGTATGAAGCCCATTTCTGGTGTCCTCCGCCGTGATATTGCTGGAATATTGTTAAAAGCGGCGTAAAACCATACACACTCACTCACTGTCTCGTGTCACTTGGTAAGGGCTTTGTCAGTGAAACTGTTGTGATATGAAACGAATGACATAACATTTACACCACTTTTTATGAAGTACAGTTATGTTTTTTTCGCTGATGCACATGAAACACTTTGACCCACAGACGCCCCGTGTGACCTGCGTCCAGTGGCCGGAGACAAGCACGTGTTCGAGCAGCGGACATCAGCTGGCTCGTGGGTCCGTCACAGGTGCCCGCTCTTCACGGCGTACAGCGAGGGGAACTGTGGGTGTGCTTTTATTGCGCCGCAAAACTACAACAAAGGTTAGTGTTCCGACAAAGATTGGTGTTTAGACATTGTTCTACAAAGTATAAGAAAGACGTTCCGTGCTGTTAAATAGTTAATTTCCGGCTGCGTGGGACTACACTGCAGCGCACGCGACAAGTCTGTTTTATCAAATAACCCATGGCAAGTGGTGTTTCTATTGACAAAAGATTGAAAACATGTTTGTGTGTTTATTAGTTTCAACAAAATCAGTAATGGTACTCTCGTCTTACTGAATTTTCTGGTTCATCGATCACTTGATTGTGTGGTTTGTTTAAAGGCTGACGTCGCATGGCAGGAGTACTGCTGTGCCGCGTCAGGCAATCAATGCTTACCTTTTTTATGAAAATTGTATGAATTGCGGGTTCTACCGGTAGAGCAGGCCATACTTACCCTTTTCGCGAACACCTGGTGTCATTACTGATTTTCAGTGGGCCATTCATATAATTTTAACAGCTATTTGCCCTTTGCGCCAAGTGGAAACTGTTTCGGCAGAAAATCTAGGCTGGTTATTCATATTTATGTTGTGTGCAGCTTGCAGACCTGAGATGTATCTGCCATTTGACGTCAACACCGACGACATGTCCGGGAAGTCTGTGCACGTTGGTAACGAAGGCGTTACCGTCAGCCGCGGGAGTGCTGTGTTTGATGGCAAGAGCCGTCTTGTGGTCAATCGGTTCTCCAACGCATGGTTTGGGTCAACTGTGGTCATCACTCTCAGGTTCAAGGCCGCGGGATACGCGTCTCGCCACGCCCTCGTGTGTAACGGAGACTGTGGTGTGAGTCCCTCCCTCTACATCGGCAGCAACAGCGACAGCACAACTGAGTTCTTTGCCAAAACGTACAGCAGCCCTGCAGTCAACTTTACCCTCCCACAGTCCGTGAGTATAACACAATGGGTGCCTAGACACAACGTTACATTGCAAGATGTGATCTAAACGATATTTCGTTACAATCGGTGGATATGTACAACGCAAACAGACACAACTATTTAAAACAATATGTGATCAAGCACAACTTTATAAAACCTTATCTTATCAAACAACTAGATCAAACAGTATGTGATCAAACACAACTATATGAAACAGTATGTGATCAAACAACTATACAGAATAGCATGTGATCAAACAAAACTATATAAAACAATATGTGATCAAACACAACTATATAAAACAATATGTGATCAAACAAAACTTTATTAAAGAATATGTGATCAAACACAACTTTATAAAACAATATGTGATCAAACACAACTATATAAAACAATATGTGATCAAACAGCTATACAAAACATGTGATCAAACACAACTTTATAAAACAATATGTGATCAAACACAACTATATAAAACAATATGTGATCAAACAGCTATACAAAACAACATGTGATCAAACACAACTTTATAAAACAAAATGTGATCAAACACATATTTATAAAGCAATATGTGATCAAACACAACTTTATAAAACAATATGTGATCAAACACAACTATATAAAAGAATATGTGATCAAACACATCTATATAAAAGAATATGTGATCAAACACAACTATATAAAACAGTATGTGATCAAACACAACTATATAAAACAGTATGTGATCCAACAGCTATACAAAACAACATGTGATCAAACAACACCATATAATAGTGTGTGATCAAACAACTATATAAAACAATTTGTGATCAAACACAACTATATAAAACAAGATGTGATCAAACACAACTATATAAAGTAGTATGTGGTCAAACTCAACTATATAAAAAAGTATGTGATCAACCACAACTATAAAAACAGTATGCGATGAAACACAACTATATAAAACAGTGTCTAATCAAACACAACTATATAAAACAGTGTGTGATCAAACAACTATATAATACAGTATGTGATCAAACAACTATATGAAACTGTTTGTGATCAAACACAACTCTATCAAACAGCATATCATGAAATAAAAACTAACAACAAAATCTGTGTTGCCGCCATGGCGTGAGTGATGTGACACATGGAAGTGACATAAAATCTCACTTTATACACAACCCTTAGAACAATGTACATTTATCAGCGTCCAGTGGCCCTTCGTATTGGTGTCATGTGTCACATCTAGTTGCCACATAAATTACACACGTGTCGGGCCTTGTTGAGCCACAAAAGGCAAACAAATAACCCAAACACACATTGATACGGTTCGTGTCATAAGAATACTTCGTAAGAACGACAGTTCAAAAGGGAGAATCGACGTAAAAGGCATAGCGACTCCCCATGATATGACAACGAATGTCTTATTAAAAAACACGAACGCTGTCATGCACTACACACTTTTCGGGTCACTCAAAGCACTGAACACCTAGCCAAGTACTACCAGGTACGCCTTGAGTAGGACAAAGGGGGACCAGTATCGACAGCGTAATAGAGTACAAGTGATAAACTCAACTGGGGACCACAAACGTTTTGGGGACATTGTCAAACGTGTGTCCGGGCGTCAACATCATCACAATCCTATCTCCGCGGGAGAGTGGGCTGAATATTTCTCAACTTTATACACACATATTGAGACTCAGTGACTCATGTGATTCTCATGAATTGACAGCAGACATTCTTGACTGCCCGATAAAAAGATCAGAAATCAGAGACAGTATCCGTGCCTTAAAGAACAATAAATCAGCTGGAGTTGACCATATCATAAGCGAAAACCTAAACACTCCTCAGATGTCATTTCTCCTTACTTGGAGATTATATTCAATAGAATGAATGAAAATGGTGTTTTACCTGAAAATTGGTCATTAGGAATTATCATCCCAGTACGTAAGAAAGATGACGCAATGGTTCCAAATGAGTATCGAGCCATAAGCCTTCTGAGTGTCCTTAGAAAAGTATTCACGTCAGTTCTATGCAAGAGATTAGTTTTCTGTACAGACAAAGTTTGTGTTACTTCCGAATGCCAGTCAGGCTTTCGGAAGGGGTATTCCACTGTAGATAACGGTCTTGTCCTTAATGCTCTTGTACAATGATTCCTTTCACGTGAAGGGGGTAAGTTTTACGTCGCTTTTATTGACTTCCCTAGGGCGTTCGACTCCACGGGGAGTAAGTACAAAACTGGGAAGAATATTGCAATCAAACAACAAGGACGTTAAGGCATGTGTAAGGTCTAACAAGGTGTACGTCTGGGGCATTCGATCGCCCTTTGGGGGTCAGGCAAGGCTGTGTACTTTGCCCTTTCCTGTTCCAGTTCTTTATAAATGAAAATGTTCTTGAGATGGAAGAGGAGTATCCGTTTGGTGTACAGCTCCATCCAGGCATTAACCACATCCTTTTACTTGCAGATGATTTGATACTCGTTTGTGATAGTGTTTCTAACCTCCAGAAGAAATTAAGCGTCATTGAGAATTTGTGGGTTCATGTGTTGACTGTTGACTGTTTCAGGGAGGGGGATGGCAGGAGGTGGAGTATGTGCTGGCGGACGGAGCGCTACAGGGTCGTGCTGCTGGACTTTGGAGTTCGCACAACGCAACAGGTACAATGTCTCCCATGTCTGCAATAACACTGACTGAAACTACCTTCTTGTACCATATCCCTGTAACAACACGAGGTGTGTGGCGTTACCATGGCCGTGTTAGTTGGTGCTTATACATACAGACTGACCCGTGAAGATCCGGGTTAGAATATGTCTTCAGCAACCCATGCTTGCCGTAGAAGGTGAATATGCTTGTCGTTAGAGGCGACTAACGGGATCGGATGGTCAGACTCGCTGACTTGGTTTGTGCATGTCATCGCAACCCAATTGCTTAGATCGATGCCCAGGATGTTAATTACTGGATTGTCTGATCCAGACTCGATTATTTACGGACATATATGGTATACAACAAACGACAACAAAACAACAACAATACATAAAGACTACTGGTTAGTAGGCGGCAATACATGCAGGCAGCATTTGTAGCTGATTCGACATCAGAGCTTTCTGCGTCTGCAGAAACTCACGGACACGTCACATTCAAGTTAAATGTCAACAGTAAAGTAAGGCGCATACAAGGTGTGTCCATGGAAAGCAGGTGTGATGTGATACGTAACACCGTCTATCGGGAGTAGACTGTCTGTCTGGGAGCAGAGTAGACAGTTTCACCGAACACACAACGCTGATAACCAGCTAATGCCAATAGTGGTGCGCAAGTGATGTCATTAAACACTGTTTGATAAAGGTACAGTGTTTGTAAACATTATATCTGTTCACGTGTGAGTCATAAAGCATGAGACGGATGAGAGGAAGACCGTAAATCTCACTCTTCAATAAGCTCGACTATTCAGTTAGCTCGACTATTCAGTTAGCTCGACTATTCAATTAGCTCGACTATTCAGTTAGCTCGACTATACACTTAGCTCGACGATTCAGTGAGCTCGACTATGCAATAAGCAGTTAGCTCGAGTGAGTGAGTGGGTATGATTTTACGCCGCTTTTAGCAATATTCAAGCAATATCACGGCGGGGGACACTGTACCCATGTCGGGAATCGAACCCGGGGCTTCAGCGTGACCAGCAAACGCTTTAACCACTAGGCTTACCGACCGCCCCCAGTTAACTCGACTATACAGTGAGCTCGACTATTCAGTTAACTCGACTATACAGTTAGCTCGACAACACAATTAGCTCGACTATTCAGTGAGCTCGACTATTCAGTGAGTTCGACAATTCAGTTAGTTCGACTATTCAATAAGCTCAACTATTCAGTTAACTCGACTATACATTTAGCTCGACTATACAGTGAGCTCGAATATACAGTTAGCTCGACTATTCAGTGAGCTCGACCATACAGTTAGCTCGACTATTCAATGAGCTCGACTATTCAGTAAGCTCGACTATACAATAAGCTCGATTATTCAGTGAATTCGACTATTATTTAGCTCGACTATTCAGTTAGGTCGACTATACAAATAGCTCGACTATTCAATAAGCTCGATTATTCAGTGAGCTCGACTATTATTTAGCTCGACTATTCAGTTAGGTCGACAATTCAATGAGCATTTTCTTTCACGCTATTTTCATTTACTAAAACCACAATTTGATACAATCATTCAGCTTGTAGAAAAGGATACAAGCTGAATTAAGGGGTTACGTGTGGCCCAGTCGTCTAAAGCACCGCAATTCGCTGTGCAGACTTGCGTGTCTTGGGCATGCCAGAAATCTCTGACTGTGGATTCGAATCCCGTTCGCCCCGATTTTGCTTCTAGGTTTGTCGGCACCGTACCCGTGCTCGTGGGTTTCATTAAAGTTGTAAACGTCTGAGACATGTATTACTCATTAAGCTGACACGCCGTGATATAAAGCGGCGTTAAACCCAACTCACTTAAATTAATTAAATATTAAGTTTGGTCAATAGTTTACAGATTAACGTCGATTTAGCTGTTTTTCACATTCTGCTAACCATGCGAGTGTAGTTATGACACAAGGAGAAAATTCATGTTGATTCTCGATATCTGTGTGTTAATATGCCAGGGGGGTAAATATAATGTGTAGTGTGGTGTTCTATGTCAGGTTCACTTGAGACTCGACAGAGGGCGCTGATGATTGGAGGCTGTGAGGGAGCGGAGGGATTCCAGGGTCATATTGATCAGGTAGGTATATATATATATGTATAGGTTTCTAAGATGCTTCGCTAAAAGATCAAAAGCCCCGACACAACTTTATCCTTCGATAAAGTACACTTATTGAGTTACGATATAATGGACTGACGTCATGACGCTGTTCAAATTATCAAATACTGTATCCCTTGGTCATTTGCAGATAACTATGCAAATATTAAAGGTCAAGTAGAATCTACTTTCAATCTGAACATGTAACCATGGCGTCGTCCTTGTTTATCTCCACAGAGATACGTGTTATCAGTAATTACATTAGATACCGAAAATCAGTGTCCGACAAGGTGGTGGCTGAAGCTCTTCACAAAGGGAGGCAACTTTGGAACCATATCGTGCGACGAAGTGTTAACGAGGGCGCCAGCGGTATCAGTTTCAATACGTAGACCTCTGCGGCTTGGGTTCTTTTCAAGAATTTGAGATGGATTTGCCAGAGATATTTTACCTTGTTTCATTTCGTCGCTGCGTGGGACACCTGACTGCAATTCTTACGGTTAGACTCTAATCTAAATAAACGTGACGTCTCACGGAGTAGACCCGTGAAGATCCGGGGTAGAATAGGTCTTCAGCAACCCATGCTTGTCGTAACAGGCGACTAACGGGATCGGGTGGTCAGGCTCGCCGACTTGGTTAATACATGTCATCGTATACCAATTGCGTGGGTCGATGCTCATGATGTCAGTCACTGAATTGTCTGGTCGTGACTCGATAATTTACAAACCGCCGTCATACAGCTGGAATATTGCTGAGTGTGGTGACGTTTTACGGATTAGAGTAGCTTCCCTTTGTGTGCAGGCGGTTAATCTAACGGGCGGGCCAATGGATTGCCGGGTAAGGCGATCACTGACATTGAACTATTATGTGAAAGGCAATTGTCTTTTTGCCTTTACGATAGTTACGCCTCGCTGTGTAGTTAGGTCGCACATAGTGGTGGCTGAATACAATGTTTACAATGCATCCTGTGTTCCATCCCAAAACACACTCACGTGGTCTACACTTGAATATGTGACGCCACATTGTCAAGGCATGTATATTGGTATCATCTGTATATTATTAGATGTACCCCGAGTGCTACTGCCACAACAAATCTTACTAACATGTTTTGATATGACATTGTAAAATAATTGAAACAAATTTAAAATTGATAGAAAACATTTGTTCGATTGAGCTGAGGTTAACTGCTGTGTCAAGTGACTTTCACTGACTCGGAAAATGCGTGCATCTTTTTGCTTCGAAGCGGGCTCTAAGGGATTCATTCTCCAGCTCAGAAATCCACGTATAGCCTGTCTTGTACGTGGCGGGGTATAAGGGATTTAGCTCCCGCTCAGAAATGTATTTCCCTCCGAGGCAGGATACATATGATGTTATCAACATCACGTGAAACAATCAGATCTCATCATTCTGACATTGAGGGATGATAATCTCGCATACAGCCCCCTGACTTAACACTGATGTACATTACAGGTGGCAGTTTACTTCTGTAACCCTGGAACGGCCTGACCCTGGAACGGCCTGACCCTGGAACGGCCTGACCCTGGAACGCCCCAAGCACTGAATTCCCAGCGTTGAGATCCACAGCTTGTCCATCTTTGTGTCTTTCATGTGGATTATTTCACATTCGACAGATTTTTATATTTCTTTGTTAATAAAAGTCGTTAAGCAAACGTACAGTATGTTTATTATGAAAATACAAAGTTCATTGGTCGCATACATCACAATGATTGTACAGTAAGCCCGGCGATTGGAATATGACGCTTAAGAACCGGAAATCACAGATATACTATATAATCAATCAATTGTTTCTAATTCACAAACAACAATAAACACCAATTTGTCCCTCGACAGTTTCTGGTTAACGATGCCCAAGAGTGATCGCTGTAGCACTTCACTCCATCAGGTTCATTTCTGAAAGTGTTTTTTTTGTCCGAAGAAAAAGCCCCACAACAACTGCGTCCACAAAACACAAAATGGCCGCAACAGCTGACAACCCCATCGGCCAGTCAATTCGGCCCCCTGCGGTATCTCGTTTGGGGTAGCGCGTGAGTCCAGCACACTTCTTGGCGAATACCGCAATGCCCACCAATATGGCCGACCCTGGAACAATCAAGGAGGCCTTTAGATTCAACGACGGGAATCTTGAATGCATCTACCGATTCACCCAGATTCAGTTCAATTTGGATCAATCAAAAGTGGAATGTTTCTGATGCAATTCGACCCCCCCCCCCCCCCCCCCCCTCTGATTTCATTGACAAAGTCGAACTGAGAACATGTATATTATAAAGAATAATCCAAAGATACCAACAACAAACACTGCCTACATATACAACAACCAACACACAAACAATCTACAAACAACCTACATAGACAACAGCCTACATACACAACATCCTACATAGACAACAACCTACATAGACAACATCCTACATAGACGACAACCTACATAGACAACAACCTACATAGACAACAACTTACATATACAACAACCTATATAGACAACAATCTACATAGACAACAGCCTACATAGACAACAACCTACATAGACAACAGCCTACATAGACAACATCCTACATAGACAACAACCTACATAGACAACAGTCTACATAGACAACATCCTACATAGACGACAACCTACATAGACAACAACCTACATAGACAACATCCTACATAGACAACATCCTACATAGACAACAACCTACATAGACAACAACCTACGTAGACAACATCCTACATAGACGACAACCTACATAGACGACAACCTACATAGACAACAGCCTACATAGACAACAACCTATATAGACAACAATCTATATAGACAACAATCTACATGGACAACATCCTACATAGACAACAACCTATATAGACAACAATCTATATAGACAACAATCTACATAGACGACAACCTACATAGACAACAACCTATATAGACAACAACCTACATAGACAACAACCTACATAGACAACAGTCTATATAGACAACAATCTATATAGACAACAGTCTATATAGACGACAACCTACATAGACAACAACCTATATAGACAACAACCTATATAGACAACAATCTATATAGACAACAATCTACATGGACAACATCCTACATAGACAACAACCTACATAGACAACAGCCTACATAGACAACAGTCTACAAAGACAACAACCTACATAGACAACAGCCTACATAGACAACAACCTACATAGACAACAACCTACATAGACAACAGCCTACATAGACAACAACCTACATAGACAACAACCTACATAGACAACAACCTACATGGATAAAAACCTACATAGACAACAGTCTACATAGACAACAACCTACATAGACACCAACCTACATAGACAACAGCCTACATAGACAACAACCTACATAGACAACAGCCTACATAGACAACAGTCTACATAGACAACAGCCTACATAGACAACAACCTACATAGACAACAACCTACATAGACAACAATCTACATAGACAACAGCCTACATAGACAACAACCTACATAGACAACAGCCTACATAGACAACAGCCTACATAGACAACAGTCTACAAAGACAACAACCTACATAGACAACAGCCTACATAGACAACAACCTACATAGACAACAACCTACATAGACAACAGCCTACGTAGACAACAGTCTACATAGACAACAGTCTACATAGACAACAGCCTACATAGAACAACAGCCTACATAGACAACAGTCTACATAGACAACAACCTACATAGACAACAACTTACATTAAACAGCCTACGTAGACAACAGTCTACATAGACAACAGCCTACATATACAACAACTTACATAGACCACAGCCTACATAGACAACAACCTACATAGACAACAGCCTACATAGACGACAACCTACATAGACAACAACCTAAATAGACAACAGCCTACATAGACAACAACCTACATAGACAACAGCCTACATAGACAACAACCTACATAGACAACAACCTAAATAGACAACAGCCTATATAGACAACAGTCTACATAGACAACAGTCTACATAGACAACAATCTAAATAGACGACAAACTTCATAGACAACACCCTACATAGACAACAACCTACATAGACAACAACCTACATAGACAACAACCAACATAGACTACAGCCTACATAGACAACAACCTAAATAGACAACAACCTACATAAACAACACCCTACATAGACAACAGCCTACATAGACAACAGCCTACATAGACAACAGCCTACATAGACACAAACAACATAGACTACAGCCTACATAGACAACAACCTACATAGACAACAACCTACATAAACAACACCCTACATAGACAACAGCCTACATAGACAACAGCCTACATAGACAACAGCCTACATAGACACAAACAACATAGACTACAGCATACATAGACAACAACCTACATAGACTACAGCATACATAGACAACAACCTACATAGACTACAGCATACATAGACAACAACCTACATAGACTACAGCATACATAGACAACAACCTACATAGACTACAGCATACATAGACAACAACCTACATAGACAACAACCTACATAGACAACAACCTACATAGACAACAACCTACATAGACGACAACCTACATAGACAACAACCTACATAGACAACAACCTACATAGACAACAACCTACATAGACAACAGCATACATAGACAACAACCTACATAGACAACAACCTACATAGACAACAACCTACATAGACAACAACCTACATAGACAACAACCAACATAGACTACAGCATACATAGACAACAGTCTACATAGACAACAACCAACATAGACTACAGCATACATAGACAACAGCCTACATAGACAACAACCTACATAGACAACAACCTACATAGACAACAACCTACATAGACAACAACCAACATAGACTACAGCATACATAGACAACAGTCTACATAGACAACAACCTACATAGACAACAGCATACATAGACTACAGCATACATAGACTACAGCATACATAGACAACAACCTACATAGACTACAGCATACATAGACAACAGTCTACATAGACAACAGTCTACATAGACAACAGTCTACATAGACTACAGCATACATAGACTACAGCCTACATAGACAACAACCTACATAGACTACAGCATACATAGACTACAGCATACATAGACAACAGTCTACATAGACAACAACCTACATAGACAACAGCATACATAGACTACAGCATACATAGACTACAGCATACATAGACAACAACCTACATAGACTACAGCATACATAGACAACAACCTACATAGACAACAACCTACATAGACAACAACTTACATAGACAACAGTCTACATAGACAACAGTCTACATAGACTACAGCATACATAGACTACAACCTACATAGACAACAACCTACATAGACTACAGCATACATAGACTACAGCATACATAGACAACAGTCTACATAGACAACAACCTACATAGACAACAGCATACATAGACTACAGCATACATAGACTACAGCATACATAGACAACAACCTACATAGACAACAACCTACATAGACAACAACCTACATAGACAACAACCTACATAGACAACACCCTACATAGACAACAGCATACATAGACAACAGTCTACATAGACAACAGTCTACATAGACAACAGCATACATAGACAACAACCTACATAGACAACAACCTACATAGACAACAGCATACATAGACAACAGTCTACATAGACAACACGCAATAGAGAAAAGAACGATGGATGTAGGACTTACCAGCTCCCGCCATTAAACAAACAAACAGCCGGCACAGTACCACAGACCACTTGTTTTTGAACACTGACAGAACATAGCAAGCCACCGCTAGAGCCGCGAACACAGCAGCTCCGACTTCGAAAACCTTCGTCACTTGCAGCCAGGCTGAAAAAGAACATGGTTAGATCAAGTTTACTTAAACTTTGTTTCTTTGTTTGTTTTTTAACCCCGCACTCAGCAATATTCCAGCTATATGACGGGTGTCTGTAATTAATCGAGTCTTGACCAGACAATCCAGCGATTGACATCATGATCATCGATCCACGCAATTGGGATACGATGACATGCATCAACCAAGTCACCGATCCTGACCTCCCGATCCGTTAGTCGCCTCTTACGACAAGCATGGTTGCCTATTAGGGCAACATGGGTTGCTGAAGACGGATCTTCAGGGGTCAACTTTAGTTGTGAATAGAACCCTCATATGTTACTATCCAGTTGACTTCAGTTGCGCTGCAAATTGAGGACATATGTTGTGTGTGGTTTCCCAAATCCGACATATTTGAGTGAATGGGTGTCTTCAACATATTTGAGTGAATGGGTGTCTTCAACATATTGGCGTGAATGGCTGTCCCCGACATATTAGAGTGAATGTGTGTCCCGACATATTTGAGTAAATGGGTGTCCCCGACATATTGGAGTGAATGGGTGTCCCCGACATATTTGAGTGACTGTGTGTCCCCGACAAACTGGAGTGAATGGGTGTCCCTGACATATTTGAGTGAATGGGTGTCCCCGACATATTTGAGTGAATGTGTGTCCCCGACATATTGGAGTGAATGGGTGTCCCCGACAAACTGGAGTGAATGGGTGTCCCCGACATATTGGAGTGAATGTGTGTCCCCGACATATTGGAGTGAATGTGTGTCCCCGACAAACTGGAGTGAATGGGTGTCCCCGACATATTGGAGTGAATGGGTGTCCCCGACAAACTGGAGTGAATGTGTGTCTCCGACATATTGGAGTGAATGGGTGTCCCCGACATATTGGAGTGAATGGGTGTCCCCGACAAACTGGAGTGAATGGGTGTCCCCGACATATTGGAGTGAATGTGTGTCCCCGACAAACTGGAGTGAATGGGTGTCCCCGACATATTGGAGTGAATGGGTGTCCCGACAAACTGGAGAGAATGGGTGTCCCTGACATATTTGAGTGAATAGGTGTCCCCGACAAACTGGAGTGAATGGGTGTCCCTGACATATTGGAGTGAATGGGTGTCCCCGACATATTGGAGTGAATGGGTGTCCATGACATATTGGAGTGAAGGGGTGTCCCCGACATATTGGAGTGAAGGGGTGTCCCCGACATATTTGAGTGAATGGGTGTCCCCGACATATTGGAGTGAATGGGTGTCCCCGACAAACTGGAGTGAATGGGTGTCCCTGACATTTTTGAGTGAATGTGTGTCCCCGACATATTGAAGTGAATGGGTGTCCCCGACAAACTGGAGTGAATGGGTGTCCCCGACATATTGGAGTGAATGTGTGTCCCCGACATATTGGAGTGAATGTGTGTCCCCAACAAACTGGAGTGAATGGGTGTCCCCGACATATTGGAGTGAATGGGTGTCCCCGACAAACTGGAGTGAATGTGTGTCTCCGACATATTGGAGTGAATGGGTGTCCCCGACATATTGGAGTGAATGGGTGTCCCCGACATATTGGAGTGAATGGGTGTCCCCGACAAACTGGAGTGAATGGGTGTCCCCGACATATTGGAGTGAATGTGTGTCCCCGACATGTTGGAGTGAATGGGTGTCCCCGACATATTTGAGTGAATGTGTGTCCCCGACATATTGGAGTGAATGGGTGTCCCCGACAAACTGGAGTGAATGTGTGTCCCCGACATATTGGAGTGAATGTGTGTCCCCGACATATTGGAGTGAATGTGTGTCCCCGACAAACTGGAGTGAATGGGTGTCCCCGACATATTGGAGTGAATGGGTGTCCCCGACAAACTGGAGTGAATGTGTGTCTCCGACATATTGGAGTGAATGGGTGTCCCCGACATATTGGAGTGAATGGGTGTCTCCGACAAACTGGAGTGAATGGGTGTCCCCGACATATTGGAGTGAATGTGTGTCCCCGACAAACTGGAGTGAATGGGTGTCCCTGACATATTGGAGTGAATGGTTGTCCCGACAAACTGGAGTGAATGGGTGTCCCCGACATATTTGAGTGAATGTGTGTCCCCGACAAACTGGAGTGAATGGGTGTCCCTGACATATTGGAGTGAATGGGTGTCCCCGACATATTGGAGTGAATGGGTGTCCCCGACATATTTGAGTGAAGGGGTGTCCCCGACATATTGGAGTGAAGGGGTGTCCCCGACATATTTGAGTGAATGGGTGTCCCCGACATATTGGAGTGAATGGGTGTCCCCGACATATTGGAGTGAATGGGTGTCCCCGACATATTGGAGTGAATGGGTGTCCCTGACATGTTGGAGTGAATATGTGTCCCCGACATATTGGAGTGAATGTGTGTCCCCGACATGTTGGAGTGAATGTCAGTGTGTTTGAAATGCTGGTGTGAATGTTGATCCTCAGTTGACACTCAGATAATAATGACAATATTGGCAGGATTTAAGGACGAATATCAAGAATAGAGATTGTAATCCATTAGTGAACCATGCCTTCAACATAAGTGAACCGACTTCTAAATGTCACGCTTCGCTTGTGTGCACAGTGGACGTATTATCTGGACATGGCTGCTGTATCTCATTGAAGTCGGTGTGTACAATTATACTCACGAATAGTGAATCGTGTCTTCATTTGAAATGTTTCATCTCAAATCATGACCATACTTAGAGCTAGAGGAATCACTGTCAAGTGGTTCCACAAAAAGTCGAAATAAAGACACATAATGACAGAATTAAAGCGGTCTATGAGCGTGACGTGCTTCAGCGCAGAGCGTGCGCACGGATATAATGGTTATTAGGTCGTATTTAAAACTCCTAATACTGTGTACTTTACAGAGTCACATTTTATCACGCACCGCAGCGTCATTGTGGAACTACTTTCAGGAAAAAGAGAAGCTCCACCGAAGCAAATGTTTGTTGAAGCCATTTGACATGTACCTTACGTTAATACATAAATGGGTGCACGGGTGGCCCAGTCGTCTAAGTCGCCGCAATTCGCTGTTTAGCGTTGCCTCCCTTGGGCGCGCCAGAAACCTGTGATTGTGGGTTCGAATCCCGGTTTCTCACCGATTATGTTTCTAGGTTTGTCAGCACCATACCCGTGCTCGTGGGTTTCACCGAAGTGGTAAACGTCTAAGACCTACGTAATTTTGGGCTTTCCTCCTACATTAAGCTAACACGGCGTGATATAACTGGAATACTGTTAAAAGCGGCGTTAAACCCAACTCACTCACTGATATCGTCCTGATATTGAACATATATCATTGTGTTAATTGATCATTGTTTATCTCCCACTATTGATGGAACACTGTTTATATCATACCGTCACTGGAACAGTGTTTATGTCATACCGTTACTGGAACAGTGTTTATGTCATACCGTTACTGGAACACTGTTTATCTCATACCGTTACTGGAACAGTGTTTATGTCATACCGTTACTGGAACACTGTTTATTTCATACCGTTACTGGAACACTGTTTATGTCATACCGTTACTGGAACAGTGTTTATTTCATACCGTTACTGGAACACTGTTTATGTCATACCGTTACTGGAACACTGTTTATGTCATACCGTTACTGGAACACTGTTTATGTCATACCGTTACTGGAACAATGTTTATCTCATACCGTTACTGGAACACTGTTTATGTCATACCGTTACTGGAACACTGTTTATGTCATACCGTTACTGGAACAGTGTTTATGTCATACCGTTACTGGAACAGTGTTTATGTCATACCGTTACTGGAACACTGTTTATTTCATACCGTTACTGGAACACTGTTTATGTCATACCGTTACTGGAACAGTGTTTATTTCATACCGTTACTGGAACACTGTTTATGTCATACCGTTACTGGAACACTGTTTATGTCATACCGTTACTGGAACACTGTTTATGTCATACCGTTACTGGAACAATGTTTATCTCATACCGTTACTGGAACACTGTTTATGTCATACCGTTACTGGAACACTGTTTATGTCATACCGTTACTGGAACACTGTTTATATCATACCGTTACTGGAACAGTGTTTATGTCATACCGTTACTGGAACACTGTTTATGTCATACCGTTACTGGAACACTGTTTATGTCATACCGTGACTGGAACACTGTTTATGTCATACCGTTACTGGAACACTGTTTATGTCATACCGTTACTGGAACACTGTTTATCTCATACCGTTACTGGAACACTGTTTATATCATACCGTTACTGGAACACTGTTTATGTCATACCGTTACTGGAACACTGTTTATGTCATACCGTTACTGGAACACTGTTTATTTCATACCGTTACTGGAACACTGTTTATTTCATACCGTTACTGGAACAGTGTTTATTTCATACCGTTACTGGAACACTGTTTATGTCATACCGTTACTGGAACACTGTTTATTTCATACCGTTACTGGAACACTGTTTATGTCATACCGTTACTGGAACAATGTTTATCTCATACCGTTACTGGAACACTGTTTATGTCATACCGTTACTGGAACACTGTTTATGTCATACCGTGACTGGAACACTGTTTATGTCATACCGTTACTGGAACACTGTTTATGTCATACCGTTAATGTAGCACTGTTCTTCTGAAACTGTTAGTGGGACATTCTTCATCTCATGTTGTTCATACGACAATGTTCATGGACCACTGTTTATCTCACAGCGTTTCTTGATCACTGTTTAACTGATACTGTTAAAGTGACACTGTTCATCTCATACTATTAATGGACCGCAATTGATTTCATACCGTTGATGGATCTTGTTAATTTGCTTCTGTTAATAGAAGACTGTTACTCTGATGAGAAGCGACTATGGGTGTTATGGGATTCAATGTGACGAGGCAAAGCCTACTTGGAAGTAGTTTCTGAGCTGACTTGTCGGACGTAGGTTATTTTACATATAGGTGTCTTGTGTCTTGTGTTATATTTAAAATATACATAAGGTGCCCCGTGTTGTATTTAAAATAGACGTAAGGTGCCCTGTGTTGTATTTAAAATATACATAAGGTGCCCCGTGTTGTATTTAAAATAGACGTAAGGTGCCCTGTGTTATATTTAAAATATACATAAGGTGCCCCGTGTTGTATTTAAAATAGACGTAAGGTGCCCTGTGTTGTATTTAAAATATACATAAGGTGCCCCGTGTTGTATTTAAAATAGACGTAAGGTGCCCTGTGTTGTATTTAAAATATACATAAGGTGCCCTGTGTTGTATTTAAAATAGACGTAAGGTGCCCTGTGTTGTATTTAAAATATACATAAGGTGCCCCGTGTTGTATTTAAAATAGACGTAAGGTGCCACGTTTTGAAGAAACGACAGACGTAAGGTGCCCTGTGTTGTATTTAAAATAGACGTAAGGTGCCCTGTGTTGTATTTAAAATAGACGTAAGGTGCCCTGTGTTGTATTTAAAATAGACGTAAGGTGCCACGTTTTGAAGAAACGACAGACGTAAGGTGCCCCGTGTTGTATTTAAAATAGACGTAAGGTGCCCTGTGTTGTATTTAAAATATACATAAGGTGCCCCGTGTTGTATTTAAAATAGACGTAAGGTGCCCTGTGTTGTATTTAAAATATACATAAGGTGCCCCGTGTTGTATTTAAAATAGACGTAAGGTGCCCCGTTTTGAAGAAACGACAGACGTAAGGTACCCTGTGTTGTATTTAAAATAGACGTAAGGTGCCCTGTGTTGTATTTAAAATAGACGTAAGGTGCCCTGTGCTGTATTTAAAACAGACGTAAGGTGCCCTGTGTTGTATTTAAAATAGACGTAAGGTGCCCTGTGTTGTATTTAAAATAGACGTAAGGAGCCCTGTGTTGTATTTAAAATATACGTAAGGTGCCCTGTGTTGTATTTAAAATATACTTCAGGTACCATGTGTTGTATTTAAAATATACGTAAGGTGCCTTGCGTTATATTTGTAATATTTTTTGTTTGTTTGTTTTTTGTTGTTGTTTAATGCCGCACTCAGCAACGTTCCAGCAAGATGACGGCGGTCTGAAAATAATCGAATCTGGACCAGGTAATGCAGTGATTGACATCATGAGCATCGATCAACGCAATAGGGATACGGTAATATGCATCAACCAAGTGAGTGATCCTGAACATCCGATCTTCACAGGTTGCTGAAGACTTATTCAACCCCGGATCTTTACGGGTCTAAATATATGTAAGATGTTCTGCGTTGAATTTGAAATAGACGCAAGGTGTCATGTTTTGTAGTTCACCAGACGTAATGTGCCATGTTTTGTATTTAAAATAGACGTAATGTGCCCGGTGTTGTATTTAAAATAGACGTAAGGGCCCTGTTTTGTAGTTACAACAGACGGATCTTTACCCCGTCCCCTTCCAATCTTCACCTTACATCTGTTGTAACTACAAAACAGAGGAAACCTTACGTCTATTGTTAACACAAAACATAGCACCTTATGTCTATAATAATACAACACATGGCATCTTACGTCTGTTGTAAATTCAACACTTGACACCTTACGTCTATTGTAACCACAAAACATAGCACCTTATGTCTATTATTAATACAACACATGGCATCTTACGTCTGTTGTAACCACAAAACATGGCAGCTAACGTCTAGGTTTCATGTGTTGTATTTACAATGGATGTAAGGTGCCATGTGTTGTATTTAAAATAGACGTAAGGTGTCATGTGTTGTATTTATAATAGAAGCAAGCTGCCATGTTTTGTAGTTACAACAGACGTAAGGTGTCCGGTGTTGTATTTAAAATAGACGTAAGGTGTCATGTGTTGTATTTATAATAGAAGCAAGCTGCCATGTTTTGTAGTTACAACAGACGTAAGGTGTCCTGTGTTGCATTTTAAATAGACGTAAGGTGTCATGTGTTGTGTTTAATATGGACGTAAAATGCCATGTGTTGTGATCGAAATAGCGTAAGGTGCTATGTTTTGTATTTACAATAGACGTAAGATGCCCTGTTTTGTAGTTACAACAGGCGTAGGGTGACAAGTGTTATGTATAAAAGGTTTCCCAAGGTGTTGTAGTTACATTAAAGGTTATGTACCCCAGAGTGTTGTAGCTACGTTGATGAACAGGACGTTGGAAGTCCAAGGAGGTCAGAACTTACCGAAGGTGCCTGTAGCATCTGTGACTTTCTCCGTGCAGTCATCAGCCACACATGATATCGTCCTCCATATTCCGTACTTGAGGGTGAGGTTGGAAGGGGGACGGGGTTCGACGATCCACCACCCGGGGGTGAGGAGGCCCGACAGTTGGAAGGCAATAGACAGAGACGCCAGGAACATGGCCACCAGATCTATTGACAGCATTGTACCTTGACTGCTGGGCACGTGACGAGTGTACGTAACGGCACAAGCCCCAAAAATTAACAATAATTTAACGTTGCTAACGTTGATATGCAGAACTACATTCTTGAACGGGATTACTTGAGAAATCCCGGAGTGTCGGACGAATAAAGTTCCATCACTGTAAGCCGAGTGTGCACAGGATCGCCAACAGGGGTTGTGTGTTGTTGGACGACCACAGCCAACTGACTGGCCGGACACCGACACACAGATCCGGGCGGCTTACGACGACATCAGGGGGGAGATGATTGTAAGAGCCTTGTGGATGGATTGAGCAGTGGTGGCGGCACGGGCGTGATGCAAGGCGCCTCACGTGGCTCACTGTACGTGAGGAAGTCGCCGGGCGGGAAGCAGAGTAGAGGGAAGTTAACGTGAACTAATTGCGTGAGGGAGAGTGAAGAGTGTTTACTTTAGGATCAAGAGATCAAATATTCAACAGAAATAGTATTAACATTACAAGCTCCATAAGCCTATTAGCCGAGAATCTAAGTCCCTTTATATCAAAATAAACCAGATATTCCGTTACGAGTGTAGCAAGTCGGAGATGAGCCGTCGTGGTCAGGTCTAGATTACACAAAAAAAAGGTAGTCGTGAATTATAAGTATGGGATTACATGAATAGAGAGACGTATTACATGGATCGATAGACGTATTACAGGGATAGATAGACGTTTTACACGAATAGGAATACGTATTATAGGGATAGACGTATAACATGGATAGATAGACATATTACATGGATAGACTTTGACATGGATAGATAGACGTATAACATGGATAGATAGACATATTACATGGATAGACTTTTACATGGATAGATAGACGTATAACATGGATAGATAGACATATTACATGGATAGACTTTTACATGGATAGATAGACGTATAACATAGATAGATATACATATTACATGGATAGACTATTACATGGATAGATAGACGTATAACATGGATAGATAGACATATTACATGGATAGACTTTTACATGGATAGATAGACGTATAACATGGATAGATAGACATATTACATGGATAGACTTTTACATGGATAGATAGACTATTACATGGATAGATAGACGTATTACATGGATAGATAGGCGAATTACAGGGATAGCCGGAGGTATTACATAGATAGGAAAAGACGTAATAGAAAGATTGGAAGACGTATCACTTGGATAGTCAGACTTAATAGATGAATAGAAAAGCGTCTTGTACGAATAGACATATGTATTACAGGGATAGATAGACGTTTTGCACGAATAGGAATAGGTATTATAGGGATAGAGAAACGCTTACATGGATAGATAGACGAATTACACGAATAGGAATACGTATTATAGGGATAGATAGAGGTTTACATGGATAGATAGACATATTACATGGATAGATAGACTATTACATGGATAGATAGACGAATTACAGGGATAGACGAATTACAGGGATAGGAAAAGACGTAATAGAAAGATTTGAAGACGCATTACTTGGATAGGCAGACGAAATAGATAGGAAGACGTATTGTATGAATAGATCGATGTATTACAGGGATAGATCGACGTATTACAGGGATAGGGAAACGTATTAGATATATAGGCTCACCTTACATCGTCATTCAATACACCTGTCTGTACCTGTAATAGTGTGACTGACTGAGTATGGTTTTACGTCGCTTTTAGCAATATTCCAGCAATATCACAGCAGGGTACACCAGAAATGGGCTTCACACATTGTACCCATGTCGGGAATCGAACCCGGGTCTTCGGCGTGGCGAGCGAACGCTTTAAACACTAGGGTACCCGACCGTCCCAATATATACATGCAATAACGCATACTGCCACGTTTTGTGCATCTGCCTATAATCATGTTGTAACACCTGCCAACAAATATAATCCATCTAACTATGCATGTAAATCAATATGTCTTGATATATGGACAGATTATTAATTTTCATATCAATTTTCATATGTGTTGGATAATTAGACAATTGTTTGTTTGTTTGTTGTTTAACGCCGCACTCAGCAATATTCCAGCTATAAGACGGTGGTCTGTAAATAATCGAGTCTGGACCAGACAATCCAGCGATTGAGATCATGAGCATCGACCAAAGCAATTGGGATCGATGCCATGCATCAACAAAGTCAGCGAGCCTGACCACCCGATCCCGTTAGTCGCCTCTTACTGAAGACCCCGGATCTTCACGGGTCGCATCTGATGGTGTTGTGAGGTGTCGAGTGACGTAACTGATAATGTGATGATATCACGAGTGACGTATGTGATGATGTGAAAAGATCGCGAGTGACGCATCTGATGGTGTTGTGAGGTGTCGGGCGACGTAACTGATAATGTGATATCACGAGTGACGTATATCACGAGTGACGGGGGGGGGGGGAGGGGGGGGGGGGGGGACCAAGGCGAGGTGCTGCTTGCTCTGGCACGACATACATTTGATGCGTACTCATCTGATTGATTTACTGCCATATATTTACTGAAAATAAATTACAAACCCGAATGTTCAGATGTGCGCATGTAATGGGGCCAGGGTATTTGCCTGAAGAGAATCATCCATCAATTTGTCTTACACTGTGTCAAAGTCAATAAGAAGACTTCGCTCCCGTTGAGGGTCTGTTTAGCTTCTATTTGTCCACGACTTCAACAATATGTCTGTCAACATATCTGCTCTTTCATCTTATTTAATCTTTATTTTAGCCAAATATTGAATTTTCCTGAGGGCAGCCCAGTTCCCCTCAACAGCCAAGCAGAGTGTGATATATGGCGAGAAGGCAGGGCATATATCAGTAGTGGCTGGAGGAGTGGCGAGAGGCTAACTGCGCCAGGAATTATATGGTAGGAAGGTGAAGGTCACTTAATTAAAGTTGGAGGTCCATATGTGCGGCGTGTGGGGCGTCGGGTGGGACGTCGGGTGGATGGCTCACGCGTGGGGTGTGTCAAGTGGTGAGAGAGAAGGGATGGTTGAAAAAGGTGGATTGTTTAAATGTGATGTTTGATATAAAGGTGAGAGAGTAGAAATGTTTGAAAGGGGTGGCTTGTTCACGTGTAGGGTTTGTCACAATGATTATGACTGGATTACGTTGTTTCTGTTGAGATTCAGTAGACGTTCATTGAAATGTATTTGGACAAGGGTGAGTTGCCAGGAATGTACTCAAGCGTTATAGAGACATGTGGAATATTCTGCAATGTTCTTGTGACACAAGACTGGCCTGGAACCATGTGGAAAGTTCTCGAAGCTAGCTGGACTAAATGAGTGGAGAGGGCGCGTCCCTGACTCATCTCACATTTAATCTGACATTACATCAAGACCAACTTTCGTGTGAAGATCATTAGCCTAGGCATATCTCGGAAGCTTGACCACTATTACGGAGAGATGATTGGTATTCTTGAAATGTCATTTATCATCCAAAACTGGCTCCCACAGGAGATATCGCTTGGATGAGATCAAGCTATATCTACACTGTAGATATCGCTGCAATGAAATTACACCACAATGCTTTGCAGACCATTGTGACGTCACTGGTTACCATGACGTCACAATCAAATGACATCACTAATGGCTCTGCTACTGAAGCTGTTAGCAGTACTTTTTACACTGAAGACACAATTATTGTCTACAAAGTTGGAAGAATGATGTAGGATGATAAATAAAATCTCACCCCCGTGTCTTTTGATATCAAATATATCAACACTCGTTGATAAAAGTGGCAAAAATCCTCACCAAGCCTCGGAATGTTTCCACTTTTATCAACTCGTGTTGTTATATTTGATATCAAAAGTCACTCGGGTGAGATTCTCTATTTCCACTGCTCTCAAATTGTATACTTCCTTTGAATATTATACTACCACTCTTTCGTGTACTCCCATTGTAATTAAAGTGCAGTATTGTATATTGATTGGTAAATCTAGTTAATTTTGTAATGCATTTGTTGAGGGTATACCATTTGTTAGTTGTTTGTTGGTTTCAAGTTCTTTTACGTACACAGTTTTGAGTTAACATATTGTTTCAACATGGTAAGCGACACATAACAATATGGTGAGCGAGAGAGGAATTGCTTGACATAGGCTGAGGGTAAATGGCCCCATGGAGAGATGTGTGTGAGTGAGTGAGTTGGGTTTAACACTGCTTTGAAAAGTAGTCCACGACGTGTCAGTTTGATGTCGAGGAAAGCCCGAAGTGATGCAGGTCTCAGACGTTTACCACTTTGGAGAAACCCATGAGCACGGGTATGGTGCTGACAGGCCTAGAAACATAATCGGGGCGAACCGGAATTCGAACTCACAATCATAGGTTTCGGGCCTGCCTAAGGGGCGCAACTCTGCACAGAGGTACGTGGCTCCTGGGGAGATGTGAGACATGGTGATACATTGGCTATGTGGTCAGCACCAGCACATTTAAACACGACATTGTGTTGCAGTTCGTCTTGTGAATTGTGCGAGAGTGTCAGGTGAAACAATAACGGATAAATAACGGGTGATGCGATGTGATGTTTTATTTGCCGACATCATGTCCACGATAAAGTTGTCTAAACGAAATCTCTGGGACATGATCATACTCATGAAGGCACAACTTCTATGTTCCGTTTGCGCTGGAACACGTGGAAGAACAAGAATGTTTGTAAGCACTACCAGGTTATTCCCCGACAATCTCATGGACGTACATGGCGGTGTGCACCATCAGTTCCAGTAGATGCGCCGACTCAGGTGAGAATGATGGCTTTGCGGGGTGGTTTGAACGCCAGGGTGGTGAAAAGCGCAGCAACGGCGCAGATGATACCCGAGAATAATATACATCCGGGTGCTGCTGGGGTATAGGTCAGCGCCCCCAGTGGCCGCTGGGTGACATACGCGTTTGTCAGAGCTCCGAACTTGAAGATGAAGAAGAACCCTGTGATGAAGCTGTCGGCAGCTGGAAATAGAGATGGAGATATGTGAGAAATATTCAGTTGTAAACTGTATCCATTTGTCAGACCAGACCTTCAGGGCGTGAACTAAAACACTGCGTCAGTGAGACCAGACCTTCAGGGTGTAAACTATAACACTGTCAATCAGACCTGACCTTCAGGGTGTGAACTATAACACTGTGTCAGTGGGACCAGACCTTCAGGGTGTGAACTATAACACTGTGTCAGTGAGACCAGACCTTCAGGGTGTGAACTATAACACTGTCAATCAGACCTGACCTTCAGGGTGTGAACTATAACACTGTCAATCAGACCTGACCTTCAGGGTGTGAACTATAACACTGTGTCAGTGGGACCAGACATTCAGGGTGGGAACTATAACACTGTGTCATTGAGACCAGACATTCAGGGTGGGAACTATAACACTGTGTCAGTGGGACCAGACATTCAGGGTGGGAACTATAACACTGTGTCAGTGAGACCAGACCTTCAGGGTGTGAACTATAACACTGTGTCAGTGAGACCTGACCTTCAGGGTGTGAACTATAACACTGTGTCAGTCAGACCAGACCTTCAGGGTGTAAACTAAAACACTGTGTCAGTGGGACCAGACATTCAGGGTGTGAACTATAACACTGTGTCAGTCAGACCAGACCTTCAGGGTGTAAACTATAACACTGTCAATCAGACCAGACCTTCAGGGTGTAAACTATAACACTTTGTCAGTGGGACCAGACATTCAGGGTGGGAACTATAACACTGTGTCAGTGGGACCAGACATTCAGGGTGTGAACTATAACACTGTGTCAGTGAGACCTGACCTTCAGGGTGTGAACTATAACACTGTGTCAGTCAGACCAGACCTTCAGGGTGTAAACTAAAACACTGTGTCAGTGGGACCAGACATTCAGGGTGTGAACTATAACACTGTGTCAGTGGGACCAGACATTCAGGGTGTGAACTATAACACTGCGTCAGTCAGACCAGACCTTCAGGGTGTAAACTATAACACTGTCAATCAGACCAGACCTTCAGGGTGTAAACTATAACACTGTGTCAGTGGGACCAGACATTCAGGGTGGGAACTATAACACTGTGTCAGTGGGACCAGACATTCAGGGTGTGAACTATAACACTGTGTCAGTGGGACCAGACATTCAGGGTGGGAACTATAACACTGTGTCAGTGGGACCAGACATTCAGGATGTGAACTATAACACTGTGTTAGTGGGACCAGACCTCCAGGGTGTAAACTATAACACTGTGTCAGTGGGACCAGACATTCAGGTTGGGAACTATAACACTGTGTCAGTGAGACCAGACCTCCAGGGTGTAAACTATAACACTGTGTGAGTGGGACCAGACCTTCAGGGTGTAAACTATAACACTGTGTCAGTGGGACCAGACATTCAGGGTGGGAACTAAAACACTGTGTCAGTCAGACCTGACCTTCAGGGTGTGAACTATAACACTGTGTTAGTGGGACCAGACCTCCAGGGTGTAAACTATAACACTGTGTCAGTGGGACCAGACATTCAGGTTGGGAACTATAACACTGTGTCAGTGAGACCAGACCTCCAGGGTGTAAACTATAACACTGTGTGAGTGGGACCAGACCTTCAGGGTGTAAACTATAACACTGTGTCAGTGGGACCAGACATTCAGGTTGGGAACTATAACACTGTGTCAGTGAGACCAGACCTCCAGGGTGTAAACTATAACACTGTGTGAGTGGGACCAGACCTTCAGGGTGTAAACTATAACACTGTGTCAGTGGGACCAGACATTCAGGGTGGGAACTAAAACATTGTGTCAGTCAGACCTGACCTTCAGGGTGTGAACTATAACACTGTGTCAGTGGGACCAGACCTTCAGGGTGTGAACTATAACACTGTGTCAGTGAGACCTGACCTTCAGGGTGTGAACTATAACACTGTGTCAGTCAGACCAGACCTTCAGGGTGTAAACTAAAACACTGTGTCAGTGGGACCAGACATTCAGGGTGTGAACTATAACACTGTGTCAGTCAGACCAGACCTTCAGGGTGTAAACTATAACACTGTCAATCAGACCAGACCTTCAGGGTGTAAACTATAACACTGTGTCAGTGGGACCAGACATTCAGGGTGGGAACTATAACACTGTGTCAGTGGGACCAGACATACAGGGTGTGAACTATAACACTGTGTCAGTGAGACCTGACCTTCAGGGTGTGAACTATAACACTGTGTCAGTCAGACCAGACCTTCAGGGTGTAAACTAAAACACTGTGTCAGTGGGACCAGACATTCAGGGTGTGAACTATAACACTGTGTCAGTGGGACCAGACATTCAGGGTGTGAACTATAACACTGCGTCAGTCAGACCAGACCTTCAGGGTGTAAACTATAACACTGTCAATCAGACCAGACCTTCAGGGTGTAAACTATAACACTGTGTCAGTGGGACCAGACATTCAGGGTGGGAACTATAACACTGTGTCAGTGGGACCAGACATTCAGGGTGTGAACTATAACACTGTGTCAGTGGGACCAGACCTTCAGGGTGTGAACTATAACACTGTGTCAGTGGGACCAGACATTCAGGATGTGAACTATAACACTGTGTTAGTGGGACCAGACCTCCAGGGTGTAAACTATAACACTGTGTCAGTGGGACCAGACATTCAGGTTGGGAACTATAACACTGTGTCAGTGAGACCAGACCTCCAGGGTGTAAACTATAACACTGTGTGAGTGGGACCAGACCTTCAGGGTGTAAACTATAACACTGTGTCAGTGGGACCAGACATTCAGGGTGGGAACTAAAACACTGTGTCAGTCAGACCTGACCTTCAGGGTGTGAACTATAACACTGTGTCAGTGGGACCAGACCTTCAGGGTGGGAACTATAACACTGTGTCAGTGGGACCAGACATTCAGGGTGGGAACTATAACACTGCGTCAGTGAGACCAGACCTTCAGGGTGTGAACTATAACACTGTGTCAGTGAGACCAGACCTTCAGGGTGTAAACTATAACACTGTGTCAATGAGACCAGACCTTCAGGGTGTGAACTATAACACTGCGCCAGGCAGACCAGACCTTCAGGGTGGGAACTATAACACTGCGTCAGTCAGACCTGACCTTCAGGGTGTAAACTATAACACTGTGTCAGTCAGACCAGACCTTCAGGGTGTAAACTATAACACTGTGTCAGTGAGACCAGACCTTCAGGGGGGGAACTAAAACACTGCGTCAGTGAGACCAGACCTTCAGGGTGGGAACTAAAACACTGCGTCAGTGAGACCAGACCTTCAGGGTGGGAACTATAACACTGTGTCAGTGAGACCAGACCTTCAGGGTGGGAACTAAAACACTGCGTCAGTCAGACCAGACCTTCAGGGTGGGAACTATAACACTGTGTCAATCAGACCAGACCTTCAGGGTGCGAACTATAACACTGTGTCAGTGAGACCAGACCTTCAGGGTGTAAACTATAACACTGTGTCAGTGGGACCTGACCTTCAGGTTGTGAACTATAACACTGTGTCAGTGGGACCAGACATTCAGGGTGGGAACTATAACACTGTGTCAATGAGACCAGACCTTCAGGGTGTGAACTATAACACTGCGTCAGTCAGACCAGACCTTCAGGGTGGGAACTATTACACTGTGTCAGTGGGACCAGACATTCAGGGTGTGAACTATAACACTGCGTCTGTCAGACCAGACCTTCAGGGTGGGAACTATAACACTGTGTCAGTCAGACCAGACCTTCAGGGTGCGAACTATAACACTGTGTCAGTCAGACCAGACCTTCAGGGTGGGATCTAAAACACTGTGTCAATGAGACCAGACCTTCAGGGTGTAAACTATAACACTGTGTCAGTGGGACCAGACATTCAGGGTGTGAACTATAACACTGCGTCAGTCAGACCAGACCTTCAGGGTGGGAACTATAACACTGTGTCAGTCAGACCTGACCTTCAGGGTGGGATCTAAAACACTGTGTCAATGAGACCAGACCTTCAGGGTGTGAACTATAACACTGCGTCAGTCAGACCTGACCTTCAGGGTGGGATCTAAAACACTGTGTCAATGAGACCAGACCTTCAGGTTGGGATCTAAAACACTGTGTCAATCTGACCAGACCTTCAGGGTGTAAACTATAACACTGTGTCAGTGGGACCAGACATTCAGGGTGTGAACTATAACACTGCGTCAGTCAGACCAGACCTTCAGGGTGGGAACTATAACACTGTGTCAGTCAGACCAGACCTTCAGGGTGTGAACTATAACACTGTGTCAGTGGGACCAGACATTCAGGGTGGGAACTATAACACTGCGTCAGTGAGACCAGACCTTCAGGGTGTGAACTATAACACTGTGTCAGTGAGACCAGACCTTCAGGGTGTAAACTATAACACTGTGTCAATGAGACCAGACCTTCAGGGTGTGAACTATAACACTGCGTCAGGCAGACCAGACCTTCAGGGTGGGAACTATAACACTGCGTCAGTGAGACCAGACCTTCAGGGTGGGAACTATAACACTGTGTCAGTCAGACCTGACCTTCAGGGTGCGAACCAAAACACTGTGTCAGTCAGACCAGGCCTTCAGGGTGTAAACTATAACACTGTGTCAGTCAGACCTGACCTTCAGGGTGTAAACTATAACACTGTGTCAGTCAGACCTGACCTTCAGGGTGTAAACTATAACACTGTGTCAGTCAGACCAGACCTTCAGGGTGTAAACTATAACACTGTGTCAGTGAGACCAGACCTTCAGGGGGGGAACTAAAACACTGCGTCAGTGAGACCAGACCTTCAGGGTGGGAACTAAAACACTGCGTCAGTGAGACCAGACCTTCAGGGTGGGAACTATAACACTGTGTCAGTGAGACCAGACCTTCAGGGTGGGAACTAAAACACTGCGTCAGTCAGACCAGACCTTCAGGGTGGGAACTATAACACTGTGTCAATCAGACCAGACCTTCAGGGTGCGAACTATAACACTGTGTCAGTGAGACCAGACCTTCAGGGTGTAAACTATAACACTGTGTCAGTGGGACCTGACCTTCAGGGTGTAAACTATAACACTGCGTCAGTGGGACCAGACATTCAGGGTGGGAACTATAACACTGTGTCAGTCAGACCAGACCTTCAGGGTGTGAACTATAACACTGTGTCAGTGGGACGAGACCTTCAGGGTGTGAACTAAAACACTGTGTCAGTCAGACCTGACCTTCAGGGTGTGAACTATAACACTGTGTCAGTCAGACCAGACCTTCAGGGTGGGATCTAAAACACTGTGTCAATGAGACCAGACCTTCAGGGTGTAAACTATAACACTGTGTCAGTGGGACCAGACATTCAGGGTGTGAACTATAACACTGCGTCAGTCAGACCGGACCTTCAGGGTGGGATCTAAAACACTGTGTCAATGAGACCAGACCTTCAGGGTGTAAACTATAACACTGTGTCAGTGGGACCAGACATTCAGGGTGTGAACTATAACACTGTGTCAGTCAGACCAGACCTTCAGGGTGTAAACTATAACACTGTGTCAGTCAGACCAGATCTTCAGGGTGTGAACTATAACACTGTGTCAGTGGGACCAGACATTCAGGGTGGGAACTATAACACTGTGTCAATGAGACCAGACCTTCAGGGTGTGAACTATAACACTGCGTCAGTCAGACCAGACCTTCAGGGTGGGAACTATAACACTGAGTCAATGGGACCAGACATTCAGGGTGTGAACTATAACACTGCGTCTGTCAGACCAGACCTTCAGGGTGGGAACTATAACACTGTGTCAGTCAGACCTGACCTTCAGGGTGAGAACTATAACACTGTGTCAGTGAGACCAGACCTTCAGGGTGGGATCTAAAACACTGTGTCAATGAGACCAGACCTTCAGGGTGTAAACTATAACACTGTGTCAGTGGGACCAGACATTCAGGGTGTGAACTATAACACTGTGTCAGTCAGACCAGACCTTCAGGGTGTGAACTATAACACTGTGTCAGTCAGACCTGACCTTCAGGGTGGGATCTAAAACACTGTGTCAATGAGACCAGACCTTCAGGGTGTGAACTATAACACTGCGTCAGTGGGACCAGACGTTCAGGGTGGGATCTAAAACACTGTGTCAATGAGACCAGACCTTCAGGGTAGGAACTAAAACACTGTCAGTCGGCAGTATGACTTTGCTCATAATAAGGCAGCCTTGATACAGAGGGGGCGAAAACAAGCAACACATCCACTTCCTCTGTCAAGGAGAAATCGAATCTGTAGATGCCGGAAGTAAAATTTTTAATAGAATCCCAGATTTGAGTGATTCCTCCGAGGTAAACCATGTCATAAATAAATAATGTCTCTGTAATTGTGCACAATGACCAATAGTTGCGTCAGGTTTACTTTTATAAGTTACGTTCAGAATGCCCAGTGACTTCCTGGCTCAGAATCAATTGAGGGATAGCGTGACGTCATCATAATGTTGAGTTGACGAACACTCTCACAGGATCTCACCTGCAGTTATCAGGAAGCTGTTGGCTACAAGCTGTAGAGCCCGGTAGCTGACTTTGAGGAACATCAGTTGAAGCACGATAGGCGCCAGGGTGAGGACCACGCCAATGACACTCAAGATCCGCCCCGCCGTCAGCCACGCTGGGAACAGAGTCGACAACGTTGAACATTAAAGTGAAGGTCACGGACCTCATGGAATACTATGAAAGACATAAGTACGCTCAAATAAGATATTCCTCTACCAGTTACCTTTCAAAGAGATACGGGGCGTTGGGGTAGCCGAGTGGTTAAAACGTTCGCTCGCCAGGCCGAAGACCCGGGTTCGATTCCCCACATGGATGCAATGTGTGAAGCCCATTTCTGATGTCCCCCGCCGTGATATTGCCGGAATATTGCTAAAAGCGGCGTATAACAAAATTCACTCACTCCCCAAAGATATATCCCCTGCACAGGTACCCCAGATCAGACTCCCTGATATCAGAAACATCCAACACTACCACATTCCCCTGCTACATACACCCATATCATATATATTTCAACCAGACACCCTGCAATGCCAGATAAAGCCCCCATCCACCACCACATTCGGCCATCCCAAATACGGCATTTGTACCAGTGTTATCGTTTGTACTGCGCAGTGAAGCGGGCATAAAATCGGGCGAATTTTCAATCTCAATTGAGTATGTCTAATTTATCGTGATTTTACTGTGTCCAATCAAATTCACAAAGTTATGGTTAAAAAGACATTTAAGAGGCACGATGTTATCGTCAAGCTTTGATACAACAGAATATCATGATACTGATTCTCACATCGGTAACAGCTGTTGAAGTGGTGTATTAGTGATTGAGGATGGTGCAAGGCAGGGGGTTTGGGGTGGTGGTGAGGGTGTGTGTGGGGTGGTGGGGGTGGTGGGGGGTGGGGGGGGGGGGTGGGGGGGTGGTGGTGGTGGTGGTGGTGGTGGATGGGTGGATGGAGGGGGGATGAAGATGGCATTACTCCTTGTTTTGTTTAATCCTTGGGCGCATCCTAGTTCCTAACTATTTGATAAGGTATTAGATTTGGGTATATTCCCTGCAGTGTTGAACATAGATGCGATCGTGACTTGTTAAAATCGGGTAAACTGATTGAGTCATCTGAGTACAGAGGAATTTCTCGCTCGGGTAAACTATTTCCAAGTATTTTGGAAAAAAGTATGTGCTTTTAAAGAGCATGTGTGAGTTGATGCATGTATAAAAGGTAACTCTGGTAAGACAGAGACGTTTAATATCACATCAGGTGTGCGACAGGGCTGCGTCCTCAGTCCGATGCTTTTCATTTCCTTTTTCCATGAACTTTTTTTATGTTATGTATGAGAAATGCAGTAAAGGGGTATTTGTAACTCAAGGAATTAAGCATGTACTTTTATTATGTGTGTATATGCGTGTTGGTGATGGTGTGTGTGTGTGTGTGTGTGTGTGTGTGTGGGGGGGGGGGGGGGGGGGGGGGGGAAGGGGGGGGGGGTGGTGCTTGCGTGTGTGTTTGTGTTTGTTGGTGTGTGTGTGTGTGTGTGTGTTGGTGTGTTAGTGTTAGTGTGTGTGTTGATGTGTGTGTGTTGATGTGTTGATGTGTGTGTGTTGATGTGTGTGTGTTGATGTGTGTGTGTGTGTGTGTGTGTGTGAGTGTGTGTGTGTGTGTGTGTGTGTGTGTGTGTGTGTGTGTGTGTGTGTGTGTGTACGTGTGCTGGGGGGGGGGAAGGGGGGGGTGCTTGTGTGTGTGTGTTTGTGTTTGTTGTGTGTGTGTGTGTGTGTGTGTGTGTGTGTGTGTGTGTGTGTGTGTGTGTGTGTGTGTGTGTGTGTGTGTGTGTGTGTTGGTGTGTTGGTGTTAGTGTGTGTGTTAGTGTTAGTGTTAGTGTGTGTGTTGATGTGTGTGTGTGTGTGTGTGTGTACGTGTGCTGTTGTTGTTAGTTTGTTGTTCAACACCGCACTCAGCAATATTCCAGCTATATGACGGCGGTCTGTAACAAATCGAGTCAAGCTAGTGATTGATATCATGAGCATCGATCCACGCAATTTGGATACGATGACATGCATCAACCAAGTCAGCGATCCTGACCTCCCGATCCCGTTAGTCGAATCTTACGACAAGCATGGTCGCCTTTTACAGCAAGCATGGGTTGCTGAAGACGGATCTTCACGGGTCCACTTTCGTTGTGAATAGATTCCAGATATGTTAGGATCAAGTTGAGGACATATGTTGTGTGAATGTTTCTCAAATATTGAATTTTAGTCCTGAAAAAATGTTAAATTATATATTAAACTGTGTGAAAGTATTTGAGTATTTGAGCGTGTGAATGTCAGTGTCTCCGACATATTGGAGTGAATGGGTGTCCCCGACAAATTGGAGTGAATGGGTGTCCCCGACAAATTGGAGTGAATGGGTGTCCCCGACATATTGGAGTGAATGGGTGTCCCCGACATATTTGAGTGAATGGGTGTCCCCGACAAATTGGAGTGAATGGGTGTCCCCGACAAACTGGAGTGAATGGGTGTCCCCGACATATTGGAGTGAATGGGTGTCCCCGACATATTGGAGTGAATGTGTGTCCCTGACATATTCGAGTGACCTATTCTACCCCAGATCTTCACGTGTGTGTGCATGTGCGTGTGTGTGCATGTGTGTGCGTGTGTGTGTGTGTGTGTGTGTGTGTGTGTGTGTGTGTGTGTGTGTGTGTGTGTGTGTGTGTGTGTGTGTGTGCAGGATGTCGGTGTTGGTGGGTGTAGTAGGTGTGGGTGTGGATGTAGGTCAAGGTGTAGGTAGGTGAAATGTGTGTGTGTGTGTGAGTGTGTTGGTGAATGCTGGTGTATGTGTTTGAGGGTGGCGGTAGGGTGTAGGTGTTGGTATGTGTACGTGGTCGTTGGTGTGGATGTGGGTCAGGGTGTAGGTGTTTGTGTGTGTGCTTGGGTGGGTGCAGGCTACATGATGTAGGTGTTTGTGTGTGTGTGTTGGTGTGTGTAGGTCAGGGTGTAGATGTTGATGTGTGTGTGTGTGTGGGGGGGGGGG